GGGCCACCATCAGGGTCATGCCTGGTCCTCCACCATCATTCTCACACAAACAGGCGTGACGAAGGCGTGTGCTAATGCCATTTTCCTTCCCATACCTTGTGCTGGTGCACACAAAGCTACACAAAGCTATTTTGGAAAAGCCTTGGTCCATATCCCAGTGCCTGCAGTCACTCCACAGTTGGGACTAGCCTGCAAAGCGTGGTCAGGCTCACAGACCCACAATTGATGCAGGAGGTCCCTCCATCCCTTTCCAGGTGGCCTGGTTGGTGTTACAGCAGATGTGAGATGGTGCCACTGGGATGCCTGTAGGTGCACAGCCGCGTCCACAAAGGCGCAGCTTCCAGTTCTCCCATCTGGATGGGTGTTAACAAGAATGATGAGCCTTCCTCAACACTGCACATTTCCTCAGTAAGTCTCCTGATCTCAGCAATCGTGACTCTGCCCTACTCTATTTGAAACTCAACTGCAAGCACAGACTACTCTAGGCTCTGATCTCGTACATCTCTTTTTTTGGCAGCTGTCCTGTCTGTATCTTTTCACATGACGACCTTCTTTGTTCCCTAGATGCACAGACTGCCCTGATTGAGAGCAAAGTCATCCACAAAGCGAGTCCTAGATGGGCTTTGCTTTCCATCTGAGTGCAATACTAAAAGCTTCAGCGTGGGCTTCAAGGCAGTACGGAGGTGGAGGTTCAGACCAGATAAGAACAAGTTTGCACAAAACGTAAGTGTCGATGTAGATGTACCTGACAAGTCCCCAGTTGGAGTGGACTGCAGTAACATCTTGCCCAGGCCTAGGCTGCAGTAAAACAATGGCGCAACACACACAACACATTTTCTGGCACAACACACTGTGGCAACAGTGCTCCTATGCAGCACTGAGGACAGAGATGAGAAGCCAGGTATCCCTATCAGGTCACTTTTGTGCGGTCCCTTCCTTGTGGTATCCCAGGTCTTTACAAGCTGTGTCGCATGTATCCTGGTCCTCCTTCTCGGGAGGCATTGAGGACTTACCCCTTTGCTCAGTGTGACAAGGGTGTATCTGCACTATGCAATGGAAAAAATGCCTCTGCACAATGCAAACCACATTGATGTACAACTCTACAAAGCAGCCAACACAATGACAGACATATTTTATCATGTGGTGACAGCTCATCAGAGTAGCCCTGAGACGATGGCAGGGCTCAGAAAGGCATACATGGCAATACTTACAAAATGACAACAGCAGCAAGAGCTCTGTGCAGTGATGTGGAAACATCACGGAAAGCAAGAGTTTAGAAAAAAAAACGAGAAGTGCTGGTTTTCCCTAATGTGTTGGTCTTTCTGGTACTACTGTTCCCCATGTTTCTGGGCTGCAGAAGGGAAAAAGCACATGCTTCAGTCCTTTGGACCCACCTCCAATGCATGGTCCTGTGAGGACCCACAGACCTGCTTGCTCCAGCAGAGGAAGGGCCTTGGATGCAGCTGAGGATACGCTGCCCTGTCCAGTTCTGCTGGACCAGAAGCACACGGGCTGAAATAACCTCGGCCCATAGCCGTGCCTCCCCAAGCCCCTCCTGCTTCCTGGTCTATTTCTGCCCTTTGAGTGCGATGCAAGGCGGTGATTCGGTGGATGCTGTCAGCCCGGATCTGCCGAGGCAGTCCATGTGACTCATGCTCCCCGCGGGCTCTGCAGCGAAGCACTCACATCCCTCAGCCTTCAGAGCCAAATGACCCCGTGTGTTCCTTCACATGTTCCCAAGGTCTAGAAGGGAGGAAGCTGTGCATTTCAGTCTCTCCTAATTTCTATTTATCTTGGGGGGGGGGGAGAAGAGTTTTCAGCATCTATTCGAGTGGCTCATCAGCCTAGTGTTCCTTCACATGTTCCCAAGGTCTAGAAGGGAGGAAGCTGTGCATTTCAGTCTCTCCTAATTTCTATTTATCTTGGGGGGGGGGGAGAAGAGTTTTCAGCATCTATTCGAGTGGCTCATCAGCCTAATGCAGCTGCAGAGAGAGAGCAGCTTCCATCTGCCCTTCTCGGAGATGAGGGTACAGTAAGAGTACCAGACCCTTGCAAATTCTCAGCTCTGGACCAGTTCCTTTCTGAGAGTGTTCCCAAGTTTGTGTTTACTAGGAGGGACCTCAGGGTTCATTAGCGTGCTCGCATCCAAGAACACCTCCAAACCGCAGCAGGCTGCCTTTGCCTCATGGGTGTCAGCATCCTTCTGCAGCATTTACCCTGAAGAAGTCTTTGGCTCTCCTCCTGTTCATTTCCTAGCCAGCTTGGCTGAGCCTTAGAGGTGCTTCCAGATTTGGAGAATTAGAGAATAGCAGAATAAGAGGTGGTGGCAGAGACTGCCTCGCTGGCAAGGAATCAAAAGGGAAGAGAGGAGAAACCCCAACTCCTCAGTGCTTTGGCACCAGCTGTCTGGTGTCCAAGTGCCTGTTTCAGGCTCCGACGCTGGCAAGTCCTTTCTCTGAGCTTGTCTGTGTGCTGTGTGGAGGTGAGGTCCTGGAGACGAACAGCAGTAACAGTGACGCTGGCTCTGTGAGGACCACGGCTCCTGAGGGACCACCACACCAGCTGAAATGACAAGGGGAGCCAGAGAGCTTCCCTGGCATGGGCCAGCTGCATCCAGTGTGTCAGCAGCACTCCTGTAATCCCAGCCTATTTTTGAATTAAGAAAAGATTGTTCCAGTCTTGAGAAACTTTGGAAATATCTAGACAAGCTAGGGGAACAGGTAGTAAAAAGAAAGTTGCAATTCTGTGTTGCAAATCCAAAGAAAATAAATAATTTCAGCTCCCTCCAGATATTGTAGGTTCCCAGATTAATGATTCAAGAGCTCCTAATTATCTTTTCTGTGTATGAGAACAAACAAGTAAGTGTTCAGTAATTTTGGAAAGTGGCGCAATTAAATTCTGAAGTGACATTTTTACATCCTTTACAGATTGGAACTGACTGTGCTGGGATATCAGTGAGGCCAGAAGGGCAGGAGGAATGAAAAAGGGGTCAGTAACATACAGAAGCGAAGAACACTCAAATCATTACATCAGGTGGGCAGGGGGGTCGGGGAAGTCAGAGAATATATACGCCTCTGCTAAATGGCACGCAGCTTCATAACAACTATGCATTTGACAAGTCTACCCTGGTACTTCCTTTTCTCAAAGAAAATATTGTATACAAATATTTATGTTTGTGGCAGAGGAAAAAAATCTTTTAGAAGGTGCCCAGCTGTGTAAGGAAAAAGATCCAGCTGTAAACAAGCACCCACAAGTTCAAATCCCAGTTTTTACACTGCAAGCCCTTAATATTTCTGTGGAGCTCATGACCGGCATTAGTTGTCTGTCCCCTGATGTGAGCTATTATCACTTGCCCGTTTTGCAGATGAATTATCCGAGAAATCTCACTAAATCTTTCCGCACGGTGCTAGAAATAGAATCTAAGGTTTGGACATGACAAATCTACATTGCGGTCACTGTCTTTTCCGAAGGAATATGCTAGCGCGTCTGCTTGGCTGGGTTCTTGTTAGCCATTAACCACACCCTGCTCAAAGAGCCAGGAAGGATGCCAGGAAACCTGCGCGCAAGCACACCAGCATCGCCTCACAAGAGGCTGTGAGCCATGTTGGGGCTCAGAGGATGGATTTAATTGTACCCATGATCCGCGAGAAACACGTGTGAAACCTCCCATGGTCACTATCAAAGTCCTGAATAAGAGCTGTGAAACATCAAAGCCCTGTGAAGTGAATTTGGCTATTCTGTTAATGTTTTTGCTTTTATGATTCTGGTGTTTGTTTCTTGGTTAATGAGCTCTGTTCCTTTAAGAATCTAGGGCACCTTTGGGAAGAGCATTTCCCTGGACCTGCAGAACTGCTGTCCAGAAATAACTGATCTTTATGCAATGAACTTTTCCAGAAAACATTTCTTACCCTGACACTGTAACAGCGGTGTTTCTTTGGGCCTGGATACCTTCGGATATTCTAGTGAGCTACCGAGCCTTTAGACAGCAGATCATCCGGTCGGAGTCCAGCCTGGCTCTGTAGGAATTAAAAATCCCTCCCAGCTCTGAAAGCCCTTCTAGGAGACGAGTATAGGTGCGGTCTCACTTCTAGCCTGGAGTTCCTAGACTCTCAGAGAACCCTGCATAAGCAGGGAACATTGCACCATGGGGCTTCAGGATTTCTAGATCCAAGTACTGGTCCTCCTTTGCATGTGCACAGTCAATATACAGCACATACGCAGTTGTGACTCCGTATGTGCTGGTCTTATCAAAACCAGGGAAACCAGGTGTCTGGAAAACCTCGGCAAATAAAGAGAGTCTTTGAAATCCATTTAGATGAGATGAATGGATGGACGAGCATCTGCTTGGGAGTGTGACAGTCCTAGGGTAAATGCTCTTCTCCTTCCCACAGAGTTTGTTCCTCTTCACAGTAAATCTTCAATTTTGTGCTTTCATTCAAACTAAGAACTCAAACTAAGAAATGTGGCACATTTGCAAATACAAGAAGCCTCGCTGAGACAGGACCTGTCCTCACGCAGCTCTGCTCAGCAATCTCTGTCAGGTGTAGCCCAAGCCATGAAGAGATGCTGGGCTGCAGGATGTCCCTACCTGAGTGGAACTGAGGCAGGCAGGCAGCACAGAAAGCGCCGGAAGCTTGGTTTGCTGTTTCCCTGAGATAACAACAGGATTTATTCACCCACGCAGGCAGGCTAACAACTCACACTAAGGAGACTCAACTTCTGAATCAGAAGAGGATGGTAATGTGGAAGTTACCACATTAAGTAATTCATACAAATGACACAACTGGAGCTGCACAAGTGTTTACATCTGTGGATACAGACCGCCTCACTTCAAGGCACAAACCTCCCACAAATGATAGGAGCTGAAAAGAAATAATTGACAGGGGCCATAATTGTCCCTTCTCACGTCTCTGGCTCCTGCCATTGCTGAACTGACCACCGAGATGAACCACCTTGGCACTGTTCCACCATGGCAGTTCCTGCATGCCAAAGAATAGCCAGAGCATGGCAGCATCGTTGCCACCCACCTTCCTAAAACTATCTCTTATCACCTCCCTGACGCAAAGCCAGATCTGTTCAGGTGGTTCCTGATTCTTCTACTCACTGTCTCTAAAATAGGCCCCCGTCACAGCAGCCAGCGTAATGCAAACAGGTCTTGTATTAGAGATGATCTCTTTTATACCTCTGGAACTGCCTTCGCTGCCGCCCCTGGGCCTGAGAACTAGCAGTACCTCCAGCTTTCTTACGCAGGATTCTCTCCTTCTGCTGACCATATAAACCTCAGATGAAATTTCTTGGTATCCAAGGCACTTGGTATCACCTCAGACAGTATTTAGAATGATGTATGAAATCTGCCCTGTCAGAGGGGGTGATAAAGCTGAGCAGACTCTGGGTCCATAGGGTCAGGTCCACTTTAGCAAACAGGGTGATGCAGCAGGAGCAGATCTGTAGAAGAAAACAACTGATGTTGAGGACTTGGTAAATGCTGAGGCCATGCTGTTAATGTCCGGGGGCTTACTTCAGACTACCCCTAGCCCAAAGCAAAGCTGAATTCTTATCGGTCCTCAGACCCTGCTTGTCACTTTT